CAATTACATATTTTCTTTTCTTTTTTATTCTTTTCTTTTTCAAATTACTCATTTTTTAAAAATATTTCTGAATAGTCTTTTTGTTCTAGCTGATACTTAAAACATGTAGGTGTTTAGTAGCAAAAGCAAAAAGAAAGGAAACGAAAGAAGTCGTCCCTACTTTGCTAATAAAAGAAAAAGAAAACAATCTTGCCAATTTTGAAGTGATGGTTTCTACTAAGAAAACTTATTCTTAATATTATAAAATCAGAAATAATAATAATAAGTATATTTGTCGTTTGTTTTCTTTTTTTTTCTTTTATGACAGTCGACGTGCTAATTTATAAGAAAGAAAGAAATTATGTTGTTTTAGGACAAGCATGGACGATGATACACAAGCAATAGCCATAGGTCTTGGCGCTGGTCTTGGCGGATTCGCTGGCCTTGTACGTTTTTTAGTTCCATTAAAAATAAATGAATAATTAACAATACTTTCTTATTTAGTTACTTATTGGTTGTATTTGTTGGCAAATACTTTGTGGCTCGTAAGTTAAAATGAATATTATTTGATATTTTACTGTTATTAATATTTAATAATTAGTTGGTGTGAAAAGAAAAAAGTTCAAGCAAGAGTAAAACCAACTCCAGCTACAAATGAACGACATGTAACAACAGTAACTAAAGTACATAATAATGTATTAACTATGACAACTATGAAAAACACTAATGATGATCCTAATTTAAAATCGAGTCCTGCGAATGATTTAGCAAGTAAAGTCAAATCAGCACGTCAATAAAATTCTACTACACACAAATATATATAGGAAACAATTCGTTTTTTTTCTTTTGTGAATTTTGAAAAATCTTGAAAATAAATATTTATGTTTATTAGCTATTTATAGACATGTTTTGTTAAATCTCTTACAAAATTTTTATTTTTGCAATAAATAGCTCGATTTTATCTATCAATTTTATTCTTTTGGTTATCCATCAGTTTATATTTTGTCAATGACTTATTAAATTATCAAAATATTCAGCAACTTCTTCATTGTGAAGTATATCAATTTTCATTGATATATAATTTTCATTATTTGTACATATGAACAAGTTCATAAACATGATGAAATTCGCAATATATATTTATTGTATGAAACAAAAGCAAAAAGAAGAAATATATATCTTTACAATATTGAATTTTTGAGTGGAACTTATGATAGCACAGGTGTAAAGTTTCGAGAAGAAGCATGAATTTAAATCAAGTGAATTTTCTATGGACATAAATAATCTGCTTCTAATATGAAGTTTTCTATTTAAATACATATGGAATTAAGCTGATCTTGTTTAGATCCAAAAAACTATATTCGAATGCTTTATGTTGTTATCTAATTAATATTTATAACACATTCTCAAAAAGATGAAGAATTTAGAAATTAGTTACGGATACTTAATTTCCGTTTTTTAAAAATCGATTCCAATCTACATTCTAGATTGACATCATTGTGTAAATGCAATTATATAGAAGAAGTAATATTTTAAAGAGCTATCACAATTATCAGAGAACATAATTTAGATGACTATGATATGGATGCATTGGGAGGTTGAAGATCTTTTTGTTAGTAATTAGGAGGAAAACAACATTAATTTTGAATCTTTCTTTTTATCATCAAATCCTTTTTTCTTGTGAAACATATACTGAAAACAATACAGAAGGTATAAAGACAGAAATTAAAATTCTCTCTATTTCATAAATTATACCAGTAGAGGTAAAAAAAGTTTTACTTTCGCATGGTTTTCTTGAGATTGAGATATGTGAAAAATATGACTACGATCTCATTCTATGACACATTACATTCAGTGCAAAATGATATATTTACTATTGGTTTTTGAAAAAAGGCCTCGCGAAGAATGTATAAACAAGCTTTTGTTTTTATTGCTTTTCACGCAAATCATCAAAAACTATGACAAACATTGTGAGAAATATGTTCGCCTCTTCTCAGAAAAGAATCTTTCAAATCCTTAAAAATCTCTTCGCTTACGAATATGATGATTAGAGAAGGTATAGCTACAAATGATTGCTGCTCTTGAATATTAGTTTACGCCGTAGAAACAAGAGTATATAGAGCTGAATTTTTTTACAATGTTTATCGGAAACATGGGTTCTAACCCCTTGATATTTCAATCTCAAGAAGATGAAGATTGAGGTAGAAAGAAAATTATTCAACCTTGAATATAACTACTTGTAGTTTAAGTATTTAAGTATCGGTTGTCCAACTGTTCTATTGCTCTCTGAATGAGTTGGCGTATGCTTCTAAAAATTTCATGATATCTTCAGCTATAGGAGTGCCCTTCAAATCAGTATACAGGTGTATATAAAGATTTTCTATTATCTATCTGAAGAATAGTTTACTACTTGACACGAAAAAGATTCCATTTTTAAAGGCTTCGATAACTGAATTCTAGTTTCAATTATTATATGTATGATTCATATCTTCGTCGCATCCATGCATTTCATTGTTCGATGTGCTGTAGTTCAGAGCCGTTTCGTCCTCTTGATTATACGAAGCTATTGTCCAGGCTAACACAAATGCATCGAACGATTAATCAACTAGCTGTTCTTCTTGAAATTGAATAAGTGATAATAGATCTAGAAGTTTTACAGACGCTCATTTCTGAAATAGTTGAGTAGTTTGAGTCATTTCATCCATTATGTCTATTCTTTAAACTACGATCAACAGCAATGTTTTTGTTTTTACGTGGTCGAACAATGCTTTTCTTTCATCCTTCTAGCACCTACATTGCCCCATACACACCATAACAACTGAAACAGCTGAGAAGTAATAAACAGATCTTTCGAAGTTCTCTCTTTCTTTTTTTGTAAATCTCACATATTAGAATCCGAGTGTAATTTTATATCGAGGTTTGCTCTCCTCTCCACTTACAGATGCGTGCATTGAAGGAATGATTAATATTGATTGATTATTGTTAAATAAAAGAATATTTAATTATCACTTACTACTTTATTTTTGACTTGGTCTGATCATTAAATTATTTTTTATTAGATTATATATATTTATATATCTGTCAAATTATTTCTTAGTTTATATAAAGTATGTGAATTCCACATTTAGTTCTTTAATAGGCTGTACTGACAAGCTTTTCTATTTGACATTCACGCATACACAAAAATCGCAAAATAATTAATGTTGTCTTGCAAAAGAATTGTAATAGATTGATAAAAAGAGAAAGAAACACAATAAAATTAATACAATAAATAGTCTTCCTATACTCGAGATCGGGAAACAAGTCAAGCCCTCCTCCTCGTGGTGTTTCCTGGATATCGCTAACGGGCCTCTGCAAAACTCTCATGATGAACACAACATATGGAAATCGTACCTCTACTGGAAGTGGGATACCGGGGCCTGTTCCTGGAGCCAGGCCTGGGGACAGAGCTATGCGAGCGTCTGGTGGTCGATCGAGTACTGGGACCCGTAGATCGACCGAGTCAAACCCGAAAAAGTTACGGGAATCAACAACCAAACATCATCAAGAAGCTAGCGATGGTCTCGCCAACCATTCTAGCACATATGAGGGGACGGCGCAATGCCTTAAGGGCACGTTCAGTACAAACAAACATCGAAAACGACAACAACAACGTCAATACAAGATCAACATTGGTACATGGAATGTTACATCGCTAACTGGTAAGGAAATGGAAGTGGTTGAAGAATCGCAAAAATACCATTTAGATATACTTGGCATTTCATCAACAAAAAGAAAAGCAAAGGATCGTTAACTTTAAACAATGGGTGACAACTATATTATTCTGGCGTCGACACAACAACTTATGCTCAAGCTGGGGTTGCAATACTTGTAAATCCACGACTAGCAGATTAAGTCGTCGAATGGAAATCAATCAACGAAAGAATAGCTCTCATACGACTTCAACTAAAAAGAACTACTCTAATGATCATCCAAATATATGCACTAAATAATGAGGCAGACTATTCAATATTCCTCGATATGGTCTTTACAACCATCGAAAGCGTATCGATGACAGACTCTATATTACTTATTGGTGATTTCAACGCACATCTTGGAAATGACTAACAAACATGGAATGGTGTTATTGGACCAAATGGCGATAAAGATATCAATAATCAAGGTAGGCAATTATTAGATTTCTGCGCAAATAGCGGATTATCAATAATGAACACATTCTTCCAACACAAAAATATTCACAAATACACATGGTACAAAACTGGTGGTCCAATAACTCAGAGATCTCTGATTGATTTCGCCATCACATCGGATAACATCAAACCAAAAGTGATGGATGTACGAGTCAAACGAGGAGCTGAGCTATCGATTAACCATCATCTGGTTGTCTGCGTCTTACAGCTCTCACCGAATGCGCTCAAACAACGAGCACAACCAAAGAAAGTGTTCAGAATAAAATAGGAAGCACTAGGTGACACAGCAATCCGACAAAAATTCGCAAACAAGGTGGAGCAAGGATATTCTCAATTACCAATCAACGAAGGGGATAGTGAATCGGAATGGCTCCTGTTCCGAACAGCTGTAATTGGTGCAGCAGCTGATATATGTGGCCTGAAACGACTTGGATTAGTGAATGGACAAAAACGAACGGCATGGTGGACAGAAGAAATTCGCAAGATTATAAACAAGAAGAAAACAGCTTACAGAACGTGGGTGCAACAGCCAACATTACACAACTGGCACAAGTACAAGCAAATCAGAGATAACGTGAAGAAAACGGTGAGTGAAGAAAAAGCAAAATCTTGGGAAAACCTTGGATATCAAATGGAATCAAATTATCATTCAGCGACAAAGGTGGATTAAAACAAACGAGATCGGTGAAAAATGTAAATGGTGAACTCTTAACACGCGAAGAAGATGTCCTCCATCGTTGGAAAGAATATTTTGCAGAATTATACAATCCGTCCAATAACTATGACAACAATATAAATCACCAAATATCGGGTGATTCAAATGACATTACAATGAGTGAAGTCTCATCTGCAATTAAATCACTAAAATCTGGTAAAGCGGCTGGAATCGATGAAATTAGACCAGAGATGCTGAAAGCACTTAACAATGGTGGAATACGCTGGCTAACTCGTATTCGTGCTGTAGTATGGAAAACTGGTGAAGCTCCGGCTGATTGGCAGACTGGTATTGTTATTACAATCTTCAAAAAAGGTGATCAAAGAGAATGCTGTAACTACAGAGGAATCACTCTGTTGAGCCTTCCTAGTAAAGTCTTCGCTAGAATAATCGAACGAAGATGCCGACAAATCGTCGAACCTCAAATTCAAGAGAGTCAATGCGGCTTTCGTGCTGGAAGAAGTACAACTGACCAAATCTTTACATCACAACAAATAATCGAAAAATCTTGGGAATTCGCCAAACCAATCTACGCATTATTCGTAGATTTGGAAAAGGCATACGACCGAGTGCCACGTAATATACTTTGGAACGTATTAAAAGAATATGGTATTCAAGATCAATTATTATCAGCAATCCAATCCTTGTACAAAAACTGTCAAAGCTGTGTTCGAATAAATGGAAGCAAATCGAACTATTTTCAAGTACAAGTTGGTCTCCGTCAAGGATGCGTACTGTCTCCTTTATTATTCATCATTTTCATGGACAAAATATCTCGAACAAGTGCCAATCCAGCCTGTGCTCAAATTGGTGATGTCAAGGTGGATTCTCTCTTGTTTGCTGACGACATCGCGCGATTGACGACATCAGAGAATAGTTTACAAGTAGCCCTCAATCAACTCAACAAGGTGTGCTTAGAATATGGAATGAAAATCAGCGAAAAGAAAACTGAATTAATGGTGATTTCAAGGAAAAACAAACCAACAAACCTCCATCTGAATAACAACCCATTGAATCAGGTAAACAAATTCAAATATTTAGGGGCGCAATTCTCAAGCGATGGTAAGCAGGATGGTGAAATTGATCGAGGAATTGGTGCAGCAAGTGGTGTTCTACGCTCACTCTACTGCTCAGGTGTGACGGTAGCCGAACTGAGCAAAAAGACAAAAATCGCTATATTCAAATCGGTGTATCGACCTACCCTCATATATGGACATGAACGTTGGGTGCTAACAGAAAAGCTGCGCTCTCGAATACAAGCAGCTGAAATGAGATTTCTCCGTAGAATATCTGGCTTAACACTACAAGACAAAATACGTAGCACAGATATTAGAGAATCTCTACAAATTGAACCGCTTCTTCAACATATTGAACGATCTCAACTACGACGGCTTGGACATATTATCAGAATGCAACACAATCGACTCCCATACCAAATATTCGAAGCAAAACCAATCGGAAAAAGACCAGTTGGACGACCACGAACAAGCTGGCGAAAATATATGGAAAAACTCAGCCTGGAACGTTTAAACCTCCAATGGCCTGAAGTACAACAAGCAGCAACAGATCGAATTCGATGGAAACAATTACTGAACGCGCTCACACCCCAATCCGTAAGGATAAGGGGAAGAAAATGAATGAATGAATGAATACTCGAGATCAGTATTTAAAAAAAGAATTGTTCAAATCTACTTTTCCCCTTTGGGTTCTTGTTATGAAGCAGTGAAACATGACAAATTACAAGATTAACAGGACAGGTTTGAAAATTTTCTCTCTACTTCAATGGTTATCCTTTTGAGATGGAGCCTTTAGGCGATCAGGGGACCACTGTTTCAAATAAACACAGTAAAATATTCAACTCTATACACTCTTGCTTCTTCAATGAAAACCAAGACTGAAGAGCAACAGCCGAAAATTTCGTTAATAGCTGAAAAAATTCATAACTCCTGCTAGGAGCAACTTAAGTCCTCGTGTCATAGATTAGTAACTTCTTTTTTCTGCTATTCTTAAAATAGTCTTGTCGTGTTTCGTGCATTATATCTGAAACGATTCGCATCGATAGGCATTGAAGCTTAAAACTAATCTTGAAGATTTGTAGTCAAAAATCATTATAAATAAAGTTTTTCAGATGTTTTATTAAGTAGGCAAAAACTTGAATATAGACATTTCTATCAGAAGACATAATGTAAATGATATAGTTTAATCGATCATCTGAAAGCATTTTTAATTGTATTGGAGACAAGAGAAAAGTAGAATCCTGCGGGACAGTCCCGAATCCCGAAAAATCCCGTTTGTCTTGTCCCGTGGGACAAACGAGACTGTTCCGAAAATATTTCGGGACAGAATAAATGGAGCAGAAGATCTTGGTAGATTTTTAACAGTACATGTTGATAATAATTGTACATTAACTTATCAAACAAATCGACTTGGTAAACAGTTTGGTCAATTTTGGTTAATGGATCGATATAGAAATCGAATTCTTTCACGCTCTTTAATTAGTATTCAAGTATTTGTCTTAAAAGATATTATTTGTAATACACAACCTGAA